ACCGTGATCTCGGCCCGGGCGATCGTCACTCAGCAGTCGTACATCAAATTGAATTGGCCCGCAAACCACTTGGTGCCGTTCGTGTGCTGAGCCTCCAATTCTGACGGTCTTCGCTTGGGCGGGGTTCGGTCCGAGCTCTTAGTGCCACGGAAGAGAGGCTGCTGTGGCTGCGCCACGAGGGCGACCGATGCGGTGTGAGGTAGCCTGGACTCCCCACCACCGGAGCCCGGTGGCGGCGCGGCGGCTCGCGTGGCGGGCGTGGCAGGTGGCAGGTGGCAGCCACCGCCACGGCCCGCGCCACAGTCACGGCGCGGGGGCGCTGTGGACTGTGCCGTGTGTGTATAATTTGTGCGTGTGCGTGTATCGACTCTAATCGTCCGTGTGCTGTCACAACGAAGGGAGGTCCACCAGCCCGGCCGTCCATCTCAGCGCCCGTCACTCGCTATCTAGCGGCCGCTCTCACGGTGAAACAGATAGAGAAACTCAGTGACTCAAGTGTTTCACCGAGAACACTGTTCCACGCTCGGCCTCGAGCCCATGCTGCATGTGCATGGCGTTTGGCGTACCGCCCCCCCACTAGCTGGCTGCGCCCCCCTCAGAAGGCCGAGTTGAGCACGACGTTGAGCAGGTCGCCCGGCTTGTTGGCCGCTGTCGTCCTCCAGCTTCTCGTCGCCGAACCAGGAGACGGCGTGCAGACGGTCGCCTACTCTCGGGGAGATATGGGGAGGTATGAGGAGGTATGGGGAAGGTGTGGGGAGGTGTGGGGAGGTGTGGGGAGGTCGCCGTCGAAGATGTCACGCCCGTGCAGCACGCGGTAGTTGTCGCAGAGCAGCACCTCGCCGGGCTGCATCGGCACGGTGACGATGTTCTTCTCGGACACCTCGTTGATGTGCTGCAGCATCTCGCCTGTTCACAGCTGCAGGTGTGAACAGCGTCTCTTCTCCGACACCTCGTTGATGTGCTGCAGCATCCCGCCTGTTCACAGCTGCAGGTGTGAACAGCGTCTCTTCTCCGACACCTCGTTGATGTGCTGCAGCATCTCGCCTGTTCACAGCTGCAGGTGTGAACAGCGTCTCTTCTCCGACACCTCGTTGATGTGCTGCAACATCTCGCCTGTTCACAGCTGCAGGTGTGAACAGCGTCTCTTCTCCGACACCTCGTTGATGTGCTGCAGCATCTCGCCTGTTCACAGCTGCAGGTGTGAACAGCGTCTCTTCTCCGACACCTCGTTGATGTGCTGCAGCATCTCGCCTGTTCACAGCTGCAGGTGTGAACAGCGTCTCTTCTCCGACACCTCGTTGATGTGCTGCAGCATCTCGCCTGTTCACAGCTGCAGGTGTGAACAGCGTCTCTTCTCCGACACCTCGTTGATGTGCTGCAGCATCCCGCCTGTTCACAGCTGCAGGTGTGAACAGCGTCTCTTCTCCGACACCTCGTTGATGTGCTGCAGCATCCCGCCGGGGATGAGCGAGAGGTCGCCAAAGTAGATGTCGGTCATGCCAACCTAGAAGGTTCCAGGAAGGCTCCCAGAGGGTGCTAGAAGGGTCGCCAAAGTGGAGGTCGGCCATGCATACCTCGGGCGTGCCGCACGGCCTCCGCTCGCGCAGGAAGCGCGCCTGGTTGTGCAGGTTGCAGAACCACGCCGGCCGGCCGGTGGCGGGGTGGCGGTTGACCGGAGACTGCGCGTTCTGCACGGCCTGCAGCCGCATCGCGCGCCCGTCCGTCCCCCAGAGCATCTCCAGGTCCATGTCGAACTTTGGCGCGACGCCGTCCGCAACCATCTGCTCGAGCTTGCGCATCGCCGCCTCCTTTTGCGGCGGCGGCAGCTTGTCGAGCAAATCGAAGTCGAGATTCGACACCGAGATGCGGACCTTCCGCCTCACGATCTCGCGGAGCACCTCGGGGTCGAGATCGCGGAAGATTGCCTCGCCGTCCGCGATGAAGAACTCGCCTAGAAGGTTCCTGGAAGGCTCCTGGAGAGTTCCACGCAGAAGAGTGCCTCGCCGTCCGCGAGGAAGAAGTCGCCTCCCCAGCCGGTGGCGGGCTTGAAGCAGACGAACGCGCCCGCCTTTGCCGTCTTCTTGAACGTGCTCTCGTTGTGCAGCCCGATGTAGTGCTTCGAGAGCGACTCCTTGTTGACCTGCGGGGGGGAGATATGGGGAGATATATGGAGATATGGAGAGGGACTCCTTG